CGTGGTCTACACCGAGGATAGCTCCCCGCTGGAGATGGAGTTGAAAAGGTTAAGAAGCTCCAGGAGCTCCAGGAAGAGAAGGAGAAAGAGCTTGGGGAAGTCCGTAAGAGCTGCAAGGAGGCAGTCTAGGAGAGGGATGTTATGATCTCCAAGATGAAAGCCTTTGAGGATCTGGTGGAGAAACTGCAGGTTGAGGCTACCCCTGCCGAGGATGAACCCGAAGAGATAAAGCAGCTGACGACTCGCTCGGAGTTGGTTTCTAGGTTTCTCTAGGTTGCTGACGACCTGGTGGCTATCAGTGAGGAAGCCTTCCAGAACATGGTGAGTAAGATAAATGTGGTGAATCCGGGGGTCGAGCTGACAACTAAAGGTACTGGGTTCCTATATTCGGTTAAGGATGGCCATATAGTCGTTCTCGAGTTCCTTCGGTTCGAATCTGGTGAGGGTGAATAGGGGCAGAAGCCACACGAGGACACCCAGCCCGAGGAGTAGTTATACTCGTTGGCCTGCATGCCATTTTATGTAATTTTCTATTGTAATCTTATTTTTGGGGGGCGGGGGGCATGACCGCATTTTGATTGTATCATGCACAACTGCGGTCCTTCGTGGTCGCATAAATTATATGTACGTACATATGTAGCATATCCGTGTGTTTGTATGTTTATGTTTTGCTGAAATTTTCCTAAGTGTTTTTTTCCGTCCAACGCGGTCGTTAGAAGTACTTAGTCATATGTCATGTTGGATATTTCCTACGTTTTATGTGTCGTCCAACGCGGTCGTCAGAAACACTTGATTGTATGCTATGTTCCGAGTCTGCTCGATGGGTGAAGTTCGATAGTGCAGGGACCTGATCAAAAGGCCTGGGTTGTTTTCGGGCAGGGCGAAACTCAGGTTACGGTCGTGGACTGAGTCCGCAGCATGAACCTCCCATCGTGAGCTAGAGGTTCTACCGTTCAAGGTACCATGTTGACGGCGGGTTCGATCGAGGAACCTCCTTCGAGCATGGGTAGGCATTTTTTCCAGACCCTTGCTTGGATTCTTTCGGGGGTGCATCGCCTGTACCTGGGTGTGCAACCTTTAATCATTCTTCGTGTCCGACGCTTGGTCTGGGTACATTGACGGTGGTGGCCTTAGCTGTAATATTGCTTCGACTTTTTAGCGTTCCATGATCGAGCTAATTCTTCCCCGGTTAGGTATTCTAAGTAGTAGGCCCCGTTCCTCGTCTTCGCTCTAACGCGGTAGGGTCCTTCCCAGTTCGCGGTGAGCTTGCCCTCTCAGGAATCTTTGTGATTCCTCCTTAGGACGAGGCTGCCTACTTGGAATTATCCTCTAAAGACCTTGGCGTTGTGCCTAATCGTTATTTTCTGTTTGAGCAAGGCTTCACGGAGGGCTGCCCCTGTGCAAACCTCCTCGACGAGGTCGAGTTCTTCCCTAATGGCCTCGTCGTTTGTTTCTTTGTCCAAAGGTGCTTCCATTTGTTTGGTCGGTACATGGGTTTCGATGAGGATTACCGCCTTTTTTCCATATGCTAGGAGAAAAGGGGATTCCCTAGTGGACGAATAAGGGGTAGTACAGTAGGCCCAGAGTACGCTGTGCAGCTCCTCAACCCACTGTCTCTTTGTTTCATCTAGTATTCGTTTAAGACCTTGTAAGATTACTCTGTTTGCTGCTTCAGCTTGCCTGTTAGTTTGAGGGTGGTTGACAGATGTGAAGTGTTGTTTAGTGCCTAGCTGAGCGACGAATTCCTACAATTTTTTATCAGTGAACTATGTCCCGTTGTTTGTCACGACTGCTTGAGGAATGCCAAAACGGGAAATGATGTTTCTCTTATAGAAACGAAGTATGTTGTGGGCTGTTATCTTGGTGAAGTAGTCCATGCCTACTATTAAGTATTCATTCTGGTTGGAGCCTACGACGAAGGGTCCTAGGATGTCCAGGCCCCACCAGGAGAAGGTCCACGGGGAGGACATTGCCTTGAGCTCGTTGGGTGGAACTAGGAGCATGTCTCCGTGCCATTGGCATTTGTCGCATTTCTTCACATATTCTTTCGCGTCGTTTTGCATGGTTGGCCAGTAGTACCCTGCTCACAGAGCTTTCCTCGCGAGGGACCTCCCGCCTAGGTGTTGGGCATTGATCCCTTCTTGGATTTCACGTAGGACATGGGCGATCATTTCTTCTTCGACGCACTTGAGGAGAGATATGGAGAATCCTCATATGTACTTTTTTTTTCTATGATGACGCATGAGCATGCCTGACGCCTTATAATGCTGGCTTCCTTTGGATCAGGTGGTAGCTCATTTTTGGTGAGGTAGTTGTATACTGGAGACATCCAGCAGTGGTAGTCGCGACGACGTGCACGTCGAGAGTTAGGGATGCCTTCTCGATGCTGGGTCGGGGGAGTATCTCCTGAATGACAGATTTGTATCCCCCTTTCTTCTTAGTGCTGTTTTGACAGGATATCTGCTCGGACGTTGTGCTCGCGAGAAACGTGCTTGACTTCCACTGAGGAGAATTTTTCCATCCTTTCTTTAACTAGGGCCAGATACTCGGACATGTTATTGTTCTTGACCTGGTACTCTCCTCGGACTTGAAGGGCCACTAGCTGAGAGTCGGTGCAAATGACGACCTCGTCTGCTCCTAAATCTTTGGCGAGACGTAGGCCGGCCAAGAAAGCTTCGTACTCAACTTGATTGTTGGAGGTTGGGAAAGATAGTGTAAGTGAGACTTTGATGAGGATTCCCTCCTCGTTTTCTAGGATGATGCATGCCTCGCTGCCTGCCGAACTGGAGGCACCATCGACGAATATGACCCACATTTGGGCGCCCTCGCTAGGTTACACGAGTGAAGTTGTTTCTGCCACGAAATCAGCCAGTGCTTAAGTCTTCAGGTCCTTCCTGCTCTCGTACCGGATGTTGAATTTGGACAGTTCTAATGACCATCTGAGTATCCTTCTGGCCATATCTAGGCGACCCGGTAAATGCTTTATGGGCTAGTTCGTGCTTACCACAATGGTGTGGGCTAGAAAATAGTCCCTTAGTCTCCTTGCAGCATTGATTAAGGCGAGAGCCATCTTATCTATTTGTTGATATCGCGACTCAGGCCCTTGCATCGCCTTACTCATGAAATAGATGGGTTTCTTCCCCTCAGGGGTTTCACGGATGAGGGCTGCGATCACAGCCTCAGTCGCAACGGCGAGGTAGAGAAAGAGGGTTTCCTTCAGCATTAGTCTTGTTGATGGGTAGGAAAGCAGAATTATGAGCATCAAGATGGTTGTCACGAGCAGCCATGATCAGAAAGTTGAAAAAGTGTTTTGGTCTTTGTGTCTACGAGAGGAGAAAAGACGGGGATGAAAGTTTCCCATAGACAACACCACTGATCTTACTGAACGATCAGAATCTGAGATGGGCCGAAGATGAACGTCTATGATGCTGGATGTAAAAGAGGAGGAGGGGGTGTACCTATAAGGCACTCTGATGCTAAAGTAAGAAAACGATCAAGAGAGCGAGCAAATACAAAATATGCGTTTTTAGGTAAGAAATTGGATACCTGACCCTCTCAAGCGAGAGGGTTTTTATAATGCCCCCAGTGTTTGGCCATTGGTCCCTATTTTCGGGGCGAGATAACCGTTTTCCGAAGAATAGGTAACTTCCAGAAATAGTCGTTGGGACGGGCAGACATGCCCATAAATAGTTGTTGGCGCGGGCAGGGACGTAGTAACGGGAACAAGCGTCCTGGCTGTTTCTGGATGGTGGAACCGTGCGTGACGAACATAAATTGATGGGGAGAAGTAATGTGACCAAGGGCAAATAGGTCAGCTTCCCCTGTTGGAGGGGCATAAGGGTAAACTTTCCCCCAACGAGGTTGGACTTAGGCAATTGGGTCATTATGAAAGCAGAAGTGGATTGGGCCATGCCCAACCATTGGGCCAGTCCGGAACAATATATATATATATATATATATATATATATATATATATATATATATATATATATATATATATATATATATATATATATATATATATATATATATATATATATATATATATATATATATATATATATATATATATATATATATATATATATATATATATATATATATATATATATATATATATATATATATATATATATATATATATATATATATATATATATATATATATATATATATATATATATATATATATATATATATATATATATATATATATATATATATATATATATATATATATATATATATATATATATATATATATATAATTTGAAATAAATTATTTAATTATAAAATAAATAATAACGTAAATTTTATTTTATTAAATAATCATAAAAAAAAAAGTGATTCATGATATAGAGAAAAAAATAAAAAAGAGAAACAAAATCATTTCAAAGCAAATGGTATTTTTTTTAAATGGTATTTTTTTTTATAAAGCTCCACCGACTGTAATCACACAATGACAAATTATATAACAATTCAATGATTCATTAATACACATAAAAATCCAAATGGATAAAAAGGATCTTGAACATGGGAATCATTCCATCAATAGCAGAAGCTGCTAAAATCTTCCTATTATAATTGAAACATAAAGAAGTAATTGTTGATGGAGTATGTTAATGAGCAACTGAAGCACGAGTATGGTGCTTGAAATATAATAATCATGATTCTTTATAGATATCTTATTTCATAAATAATGGGAAAAAATCTAAGGTAGTTTCTATACTTTAGTACCTTAAATAAAAAGGACTCTATCAGTTTTCTAATGTGTTCTTACTTCATATTTGTCATAGTAATTGAGCTATATTTGTAAAATGTTTTTCTATTTCATGTTTGTCATAAAATAAGTTATACAATTCCAATTTTGCATAAAAGCTCTTTACAAATTGACTAAAATGACTTTTTCATTTCTCCACTCCCTTCTTCGACTCTAATTTTAAACTGACTTTGAAGCTGATTGTTAATGAAAAATTGATATAGTTTTTTTTTCTAATACTTCAAGAGCCTGTGTCTTGGAAGTTGAGAGGTATGAGATGGTATTGAATGTCGAGATCTCTAAAAATCTTCATCAACTCTTCAATCAGGATAGATCTTTTGATAAATCTTTCTCTCATGTCTTGGAAGTCCATTTTATGAGTTGGCCAGGTCGCCACTCTCAGCATGTTCAATTGCTCGTGATCCTTCAAGAATATATAAGGTGAAGGATGCCATTGATCCTTCTTATTATCGACGTAACTGCATGAGTCATTAACAGTTTTAGCTCAGATATATGTAACAATAAATATGTATATGTAATAAAGGAGAGAGACGTGGAAGTACATACCTTTGTATTCTATGTTTCATAAGTGAAATCTTTTCGAGCGGAGTAGCTATATGAATACATAATTCAATTGTATCTCCCACATCAGGACTATGGTAGAAATTTTGTATAGCCTTAGTAGCAAGGACACTATTAGGGATCATTATCTTTAGATTATCGTATCTTAGAAATACCGTAGTTAATATGTTCATTTCTTCTACAACCATCTGAAATAAGAGAGAAAAAATGCGGAGGGATACAATTAGACTATGTTCGCATTGCAAGAAGAAAATCTATATACTCATAGAGATATAAACATTGTTAGAACACAGATTGGTTCTTAATAATATCTCTATGTTTTGATGATAACTATTATGAAATTTTGAAATTAAGAATTATATACTCTAAAATTTGCTTAAGAATGTTTGCTGCAGATATTAAAGTAAATATCACTCCAGAAGCAAATCAGATCTGAACATAAGAAATATGCAAGGCTCTGAAGCGTCAGATGCACCCATTAGAAGATTTTGAACGCTGCCATCAGAAGATCCTCAGCGTTGCCTCCAGAAGGATCTGAAGCAGAAGCTCTAGAAGGATCTGAAGCAAAAGCTCCAGAAGAATCTGAAGCAAGTCAGAAGCATCTGAACCAATGAAGAATTATGTATGAAGAGTTTTCAAGCATAGTTAATTCAGAAGACTCTGAAAGTACTAACGCTGCCAGTACTGAGGATCTGACCCAAAACTCTGCTCTGAACTTATACGCACTAAAAGCACACTTGCTGCAAAGACTCTGATTCAGCAAAACTCTAATCAACATCAGAAGGCTCTGATGAAATTAGACTCTGATGACTCTTGCTGAAAATTGTTGAAGAAGAATTCAAAGATTATGTCCGTTGGAATATCCAAACGACTCTTTCCTTATTTATGCTAGACACAAGAACACAGACAAAAAGGATTTCTTTGTGCTTTCTTCTTCTAGGAAAGGTCACTTGATGTGAAGACAAAAAGGCTCAAACCTTTTGGTACACACTTCTCAAAGTGAGATACTCTTGGATCACTGTGCCTATAAAAGCAAGTCTCCACTCATCTTCTTCAGTTGACGAATCACTTGAAAATAATTCATTATCAAAGCTCTCATACAACTCATATATTCTTTCTAGAATTAATTTCTTTGTTCTTAATCTTAAGTGAAAAATCACAGTTGTGATAAATCTTTATTAGAAGCATTTTAACACTTGTATTTGTTATTACATTTGATTGTAAGAAAACCTTAAGAAGATCCAGTTAGGATCAGTAGTTCTTGAGAAGACTTTGAAAAGTTGTTCTTAGTGCTTACTATTATAATCAGTTGATTAAATAGTGGATTAAGTCCTTGTTTGAGAAAGGCAAATCACTCTAGAAAGGGTGGACTGGAGTAGTTGAGTTCAACGAACTAGGATAAAAATACTTGAGTTTTACTTCTAAGTTTTTATCTACATACTTATTCAACCCCCCTTCTAAGTATTTTCTCACCTTCAGTTGGCATCAGAGCTCCGGTTCTGTGTGTGCTACCATTTCACAGTGACAGTAAAGATCCAGTGAGAAAAACTTTGATATATATTTGGTTGTTACTATGGTTGATACTTCAATATCTAACATTAACAACAAATATGAAGAAAGGGACAGAATCAGCACTAAACCCCCTATGTTTGATGGGGAGAAATTTGATTATTGGAAAGACAGGATTGAAAGTTTTTTCCTTGATTATAATGCTGATTTATGGGATTTGGTCATAGATAGATATGTTCATCCCATTGATGGGAATGGCAAGAAAGTAGATAGAAAATCTATGACAGAAGCCCAAAAGAAGGAATTTAGAAATCACCACAAGGCTAGAACAATATTGTTAAATGCAATATCTCACACTGAGTATGAAAAGATCACAAATAGAGAAACTGCATTTGACATGTTTGAGTCCTTAAAGATGACTCATGAGGGAAACTCTCAAGTCAAGGAAACAAAGGCTCTGGCTCTAATTCAGAAGTATGAAGCCTTCAAGATGGAAGAAGCTGAATCTGTTGAAGCCATGTTCTCTAGATTTCAAATACTTACAGCTGGACTAAAGGTTCTGGATAAAGGATACTCTACTGCTGATCATGTGAAAAAGATCATCAGAAGCTTACCTACCAGATAGAGACCTATGGTGACTGCGCTGAAAATGGCTAAAGATCTGAACAAGATCTCCTTGGAGGAACTAATCAGTTCACTAAGGAGTCATGAAATTGAACTTGAGGAAGATGAACCTCAAAAGAAAGGTAAATCAATTGCTTTAAAATCTAATAAATCTGCAAAAGCATTGCAGGCAATAGAGGAAAGCTCTGAAGAATCCTCATCTGAAGATGAAGATGAACTATCCAGGCTGTCTAGAAGAATAAACAAACTCTAGAAGCATAAAGGAAAGAAGTTCAGAAACTTCAGGAAGCCTGACCAAAGAAAAGAATCTTCTGGACACAGAAGATCTGGCAAAAAGGAGGTTGTCTGCTATGAATGTAAAGAACCTGGGCATTACAAAAATGAATGTCCAAAGTTGTTGAAAGAAAAGCCTAAAAGAAAATCTGATAAGAAGAAGAAGGTTCTAATGGCCACCTGGGATGATTCAGATACATCTGAATCTGAATCTGAGTCAGAAGAGGAATGTGCCAATGTAGCATTGATGGTAGACATAGAAGATCAGGAGGAAGGAATTTCAGGATCTGAATCTGACTCTGACGCTGAAGAGGTAATGACTAAACTCACTAAAGATGAACTTATCAAAGTGTTATCAGAAGTTCTGAAGAGCTATAACAATATTAAGCTCAAATACAAGAAGCGTCAAAGCAATCTTGTATCTGAGAATAATATTCTCAAATCAGAAGTAGCTGAGCTAAATGAAAAGAACTTAAGATTGAAAAATGATTCTGAATTAGCTCAACAAGACTCTGATTCTGAAACTGAGTCTGAATGCAAAAATATTTTGGAAAAATATGATTACAGTTTTCAGAAGTTTCTTGCTAAAAGCATGGACAGAAGCAAAATGGCTTCTATGATCTATGGAGTTAGCAGAAATAACAGAAAAGGAATTGGATATAAATCTTCCTCTGGAAAGGATTTAAATCCAAAACCTGTTGATAAAATTATCATCAAGAAAACTCCTTTATATTCCCACTTTAAATTTGGTCACTTGAATGATATTGAACACACTCGTTCTGAAAAGAACATTCATGTGTTTAAATCTAAGGCTAGTCAGAATAAACCTTATGTTGAAAAACAGAAGTTTAGACAAACCTTCAGAACAACTAACCCAAAAGGACCCAAGAAGATCTGGGTACCTAAAAGTAAAATAATTCCTGTTGCAGATGTTCTTAGCAGCAAGGTCAGGACGCCAATCATGGTACCTGGACTCTGGATGCTCGCGACACATGACAGGAGAAAGGTCTATGTTCCAAAGTCTGGAGCTTAGATCTGGAGGTGATGTGAAATTTGGAGGGAATCAGAAGGGCAAGATCATTGGATCTGGCACTATTGGAAATGGTAAACTTCCCTCTATTACTAATGTTTTACTTGTAGAAGGATTAAAGCATAATCTATTGTCCATAAGTCAATTAAGTGACAATGGTTATGACATAACCTTTAATCAAAAATGTTGTAAAGCTATTAGTCAAAAGGATGGCTCAATCCTATTTAGTGGAAAGAGGAAGAACAACATTTATAAAATAAACCTTTCAGAACTTAAGGTACAGAATGTTAAATGTCTCTTGTCTGTTAATGAGGAGCAATGGGTATGGCACAGAAGATTGGGGCATATTAATATGAGACATATATCTCAGATTAATAAACTTAATCTTGTCAGAGGACTTCCTAATCTGAAGTTCACTTCAGATGCTCTTTGTGAAGCATGTCAAAAAGGGAAGTTTTCAAAATCATCTTTTAAATCAAAAAATGTTGTTTCTACTTCCAGACCACTAGAATTACTTCATATTGATCTGTTTGGACCAGTGAAAACTGCATCCATCAGAGGCAAGAAGTATGGATTAGTCATTGTTGATGACTATAGTAGACGGACATGGGTAAAGTTCTTAAAACACAAGGATGAGTCACATTTTGTGTTCTTTGACTTCTGCAAACAAGTCCAGAATGAAAAAGATTTCAAAATTATAAAAGTTAGAAGTGATCATGGTGGTGAATTTGAAAACAAATATTTTGAATATTATTTTAATGAAAATGGAATTACTCATGATTTTTCCTGTCCTAGAACTCCACAACAAAATGGAGTTGTAGAGAGGAAAAATAGAACTCTGCAAGAAATGGCCAGAACCATGATCAATGAGACTAATCTGACAAAGCACTTTTGGGCAGAAGCAATCAACACAGCCTGTTACATTCAGAACAGGGTGTTTGTAAGACCTCTTCTGGAGAAGACTCCCTATGAACTGTGGAAGAACAGAAAGCCCAACATTTCACATTTTCATCCTTTTGGAAGTATTTGCTATATGTTGAATACTAAAGAAAATCTGAACAAGTTTGATTCCAAAGCACAGAAGTGTTTCATGCTTGGGTATTCTGAACGCTCTAAAGGCTACAGAGTGTACAATACTGAGACACAGATTGTGGAAGAATCTATTCATGTTAGATTTGATGATAAGCTTGGCATTAAAAAGCCAAAGCAGTTTGAAAACTCTGCAGATAGAGAAGTAGTCTTCACAGACTCTGAAGGCTCAGAGCAGACAAAGCTCAAGTAAAGGAACCAGAAGCAACGCCAGATGCAATTCCTTTAACTTCTCAGATGAACAACTTAAACATTTCTGAAGAATCAACTATTAGAGGATCATCTTCCAGAATCAAAGCTTCTCATCCAGAGAATGTTATCATTAGAAAGAAGGATGACCCTATCAGAACAAGATCCTTTCTCAAATCATCTGAAGCATCATTATTTGGATTGGTGTCAGAAATTGAACAAACTTCTATAGATGAAGCTCTGCAAGACAATGATTGGATTATTGCCATGCAAGAAGAGCTAAATCAGTTCACCAGAAATGATGTGTGGGATTTAGTTCCAAGACCAAAAGGATTCAACATAATTGGAACTAAATGGGTCTTCAGAAATAAGCTTAATGAGAAAGGAGAAGTTGAAAGAAATAAGGCAAGG